CAGTACAAAGAGAATAGTTAGTTGTATTCTGATAAAATCGAACACAAACCGCTTCATCATGCAATTTCTACGAACAGAAAGTCTCCCAATGATATGAAAAACATGAAACATTTGGTTAAAAAAGGAGTAACTTGACTATGGGCATAAGAAGAATTTTAACTATGCTAGACAAATTAGTAAGAATCAAATAAAAAAAGATGAAGATGAGAAAATGTTGTAAAAGTGATCCTACACATTTTGATTCAGCACGCTTAAAATGTCTATAAGAACAGAAGGCTCCTGCATTATAAGAGCAGCCTCGATTGCATTTCGGATGCTGCTTCGAGACCACATGAGCCGGACGGTACTCAAGTGCTTAGAGCGCTGGCCGATCACAAGCATGAAAGCATCATGGGGAAGGTGCAGCCGGAGAAGAGTCTCTGCTTCAGACGGCTCCTCAGAACCAGGTAATCTATGACCGATAGTCGAATTGACTTTGGTAATTTCAGAGTTTACCCCGAGACCAGAGCCTAGAAGATCATCAAGATCAAGATTCAGGTCACAGGGAGGAGCAGCAGAATGGATAGGATCGCTCGACTATAAAAAAGAAGGAAAAAAAGTAGTGAATATTGCCTGGGAGTAGATAATGAAAAGAACAACGCGCGTGAGTTTTGCGCACAGTTTTGCAATTAATTGAGTCATATAAATAAAGGGTGTCTCCGACATTTAAAATATAGCCACAAGTCGACAAAAGACCCTAAGGATCTTATGTAGGAGCAAACAATAAAGGGATAAATTGATGCTTGATTAAGTCTTAAACAAGTTGAACAGGTAGATATGAACCGATGCAAAAACTATAGATATTCACAAATGATCGAGGAAATCAAGATATAAATTCGAGGCATGGAGTTAATAGTCTTGCACATTATTGCTCGCCTATCAACTGAGAAAAATGAAAGTCTTAACTGGCAGACCTCAGATATGGGCAAAAAAGTCGTCGATTCGACAGTTCTTTGTCCCCAAGTTAAACCAATAACAATAGCGTTGAAGGAGCTCGTGGAGATACAAGAGTTGTGACGTTCAGACGATCAAGTAAAAGATCAATTATTCATTGAAGTAAAACCATTTTCCACTGAGGACCCGTATAAACAAAAAAAGAGATACCTGTATCTGCCCTATGAAGAGGTCCGAGATCATAAAGTTGGAGGACGGCATTGTGTTGACACTGCTTTTATCAATCCATAAGAAATACTAACCTGAATAAAACTAATAAGATTTTCCAGGAATCTAATGGACTAAGGCTAGGCAGCTAAAAGC